CAGTTGTTAGCTATCATGTGGGTGTAGGGATTTGAACCCGGGTCTTCTCTTCTGCAAGAACAACCAGTATTCTTAACCACTGAGACATCTCTCCAGCCCCTAATGTACTCTTTTATGTAAGAAAGCCTACAGAGTCTAATTTGAGTCCCTAAAAGAAAATAATATTTTTACCCTTTCTATCCAAGGTCAACTAGTTCCCAGAGGATTATTTGACACCTGTCCTCTTGATTAGGTATTCCTGGAGATCGAAAGAAAAAAGAGATTTAGCCATCATTTGATTTTTTTTTTAAGGTTAAAACAACAGGTGCATATCTCTCTTAGCTGTAGGCCCTGTGGAGGAATTGCTATGTTGAAACTGAGCCAGGGTTGGGATGCCCTATAATTAGACAGCAATTTTTGTTATTAAAAAGACATTGGTGAGGAATAGTCAACTAAATAATATCTCATATAAATTTAAGCGTAATATCTTGGGCGTATGATCCCTTAGACTGTTAAAAAATACTGGGGTCCAAGGAGACCCCAGTGGGTGAACTCTAACCAGAGTACATTCTGCAAAGAAGAAAATCAACACAGAGGGAAATATCCTCAATGCTTCCAAGGGAATCCATGATCAAGCAAGAACTTTGACTCGTTCTCAAAAAGCAGGAACCGGTAAAAAGAAGAGCTAAAGAAACTAGTTTCTCCCAAGTCCAGTGACCCTAAGGTCCAGATCCTAGATTTGCCTGGAAGTGAAAAAAAAAGAAAAGAAAAAAAAAAGGTGACTGGTGTTTTTTAAACAAATATCTTGGGATCATACGCCCAAGATATTTGGCTTAAATTTATATGAGATATTATTTAGTTGACTATTCCTCACCAATGTCTTTTTAATAACAAAAATGCTGTCTAGTCATAGGGCATCCCAACCCTGGCTCAATTTCAACATAGCAATTCCTCCACAGGACCTACAGCTAAGAGAGATATGCACCTGTTTTTTAACCTTAAAAAAAAAAATCAAATGATGGCTAAATCCCCTTTTTCTTTCAACCTCCAGAAGTCATTTGAAAGGAACCTCACACTGATTTTACCTACTCCAACAGTTATCAAAGTGCCTAAAAACAGATTTTGGATTCTTTACTCTCAAGACAAGCCTTGAAGGGCAAAGGAAAAAAAAAAAATCCCTGAAAAAGAGGCTGGTAGGTATATGCTCTTGTTCAGCCTTTCAAGGGATTATAATGGACTTTAATTCCAACATTTAAGAATGTCCTTTGTTCTGGCTTCTCCTGTTTCTCTGCCTAAGGTTTGAAAGGCAGATAACTCTTTCCTTACTTCTCCCTCACATGACTCTTTCCAGACTTCAGTCAAGAACTTCCTTTCCCCACTATACCTGGAGGTTTTACAAATGGATCTATGTACTTTCAGGGTCCCCTAGATAGCCCCGTTGGATATCCCAGCTGCCACACCTGATGATCTCACTCATCTCTAAGAAACCAGACAGATTGATGCCCCATTCCCTAGATAGCAGTTAGTTACCCCTTGTGAGCAGGGATGATAAAAACAGAAGTTAAAAACTAACTAGGCTAGGGATGGTACCCCAAAAAGCAGCAGCTCCAGAAATATCCTTGATTCTATGTGTAGAAATTCCAGAATGTTCTCAAGCTTCAAAATTAACAAACAAATAAATTATATAGACACTATATAAATTAGATTTATTTCTCTTTGCCCTCATCCTAGGTGAATCATTATGAATCTAATTACTTTTAAATATGGAAGAATTTTCATATAACTATGGTTAAAACAAGGGCATTATTTCAAGTCACTCAATATTTTTGGAGTGTGTACAGGGTGCTGGATGCTCTTTTGTGCATGCTAGGATTTCAGTAATAAATAAAACAGAAAAAAAAGAAAAACCTGCCCTTTTGTTTCCACAGTTAGCTACCCACTCACTTTTGTAATTTTTAGCATATGTGTTAACCAATATATCCTGTATGGTTAAAACAAGGGCATTATTTCAAGTCACTCAATATTTTTGGAGTGTGTACAGGGTGCTGGATGCTCTTTTGTGCATGCTAGGATTTCAGTAATAAATAAAACAGAAAAAAAAGAAAAACCTGCCCTTTTGTTTCCACAGTTAGCTACCCACTCACTTTTGTAATTTTTAGCATATGTGTTAACCAATATATCCTGTCATTTTTCCTCTTAGTAGTTCTGTAGTATGGATAACTTAATCATACCCACTCACTTTTGTAATTTTTAGCATATGTGTTAACCAATATATCCTGTCATTTTTCCTCTTAGTAGTTCTGTAGTATGGATATATGAGAACTTAATCATTTTTATAGGCTGATGCTCCATTTAGGTTTTGTTTTGATTTTTGCAACCATAGTTACAGTAAACACCAATATTGCATCATTAGATCTATATAATTTATTATTTCTAAAGAAAAGTAATCTAACCTGGGTGAATAAAAGTTACAAACAAACCCATCTTTCCCAAGTGGATTCACTAATTGGATCCTGCATTTCTCAGGTATGAGGCAGAGGCTACTATCCACCTCTGTGGTGCTGAAGAAGGAATTAATTCTCTCCATCAGAAGGCAGTCCCAGAGATACACCTAGTCACCTTTTGCTCCCAGTTGTCAACCAACTTCTCTGAATGAGACTTTACCTAATATGCAAAGCCAAACTCTGCAGTGTTGTATGGAGTGGTTTGACCCACCCCTCCTCTTGGTCATTGTCACCAGCTGTACCTTAAACACCACATCAGTTTACCTTTTACAGAACTAATGAACTTGTCCTTCCAGATTTGTGTAAATACATATGGTTGATTATGCCATTTCATTCTTGAGACAACATATGTAAAATGCACATACACACATAAAATTATCTCTCTCTTCCTTCCTCCCCCCATCCACCCACCCAGTCTAGTGCAGGCGCCACCACACGTGAGATGGAACTGAGCCTGCCCTTGGTCATTTCTCTACGCTACGCCCTTGAATTTAAATCACTAGCTAGCAGTTTCCTGGCCTGTATCCTGTCTCCTGTCTCCTGCCTCCCTTTCCCCCTCTGTCTCCTCATACCAAGCTGGAGGCCCAAACTTACAGTACCCTTGGAACCTAGACTTGGAGGGTCTGAGCTCACACCAGTGTCTGCGGGCCCCATTCTCTTCTCGCGTCCGGTGCTGTTCTAGGCGGAGCCTAGACGTCAGCTTCTCCTGCTGAAGGGAATTGTGGTGCGTAAACAAGATTAACTCTCTAGCCCCCAGCTGTGCTGATTTGCCGGGCGGTCTGCCAGTCGCCCCAAGCCCTCGCTGTGCTCAGCGTGAGGAGCGGGGGATGGGGCAGCCAGCTGCCTCAGTGCTGTCTCTGGTGCCAGCTTCCTCGCTAAGTGCTGCGGAAGGCCACAGCCACACCAGCTACTTTTCAAAACCCGGAGTGGACCGAGGCGACTGCTGCTAGCTGTGGCCTGGGATCCCTCAGCTTCCTCTTCCTCCCAGCTGCTGTCCCCTCCGCCCACCGCGCTCCAGCAGCTCTCTCCAGTCGGCGCTGTCCATCGCCCAGGGCGCGGTGCCAGCACATCTACCAGCTATGGGGGACCTACCCGGCCTCGTGCGCCTCTCCATCGCGCTGCGCATCCAGCCCAATGACGGCCCGGTCTTCTTCAAGGTGGATGGGCAGCGCTTTGGCCAGAACCGCACAATCAAGCTGCTCACGGGCTCTTCCTACAAGGTGGAGGTGAAGATTAAGCCCACAACATTGCAGGCCGAGTAAGTGATCGGCGCGCGGTGGCGGCAGGGTGATACTCCGGGTATGGGAGGAGTACCTAGGCCCCTGGATGCCCTTAGCCTCCTCTGGGCCCCTTGTGTCTCACACCACGCCCAACTGGACCCGAGGCGAGAGAGAAGGAGGTCTACGCCCTGTACCCATGTTCCTCCCCTACTGTGTGCTTGTGTCTTCCTCTATCCTCACCGCAGGGAGTCGGTTTAAATCAGGGACAGGTAGCCGGAGTTTAGGGAGAGGGGTTAGGTTGGGAGGAGGGGTTTGGCTTTGTCTTTGCTTTTGCTTTGTTTTGATTTCTTTTATAAATTACTGTCCAGCCATCCGCTCAGAACCACAAGTGGCTGGGGTGGGGCAAATGATAGAAAGTCGCAGCAGGGTTCAGCAACCGCAGTTCCAGCCATCCTTTCCCAGATCCTGGAATCCCTCCGGGTTTTTTTTTACCAGACTGAAGGAGGAAAAATAGCTTAGGGATAAGCGGCAGTTATTGGGCTTCCTGAGGGATGCTGTGGAATCCTCCTTACCGGGTTAATAACAGAGGACCCACAGCTGAAGCAGCAGGCACAAATTAGCATAGCTTCTGCCTAGGCCTGGGTTTATCGTTTTTATTCCATGCTCTATACCTTTCCTTTCCTTTCCAACTGAATTGTTTGTTCAGCCTAGTGATGTTACTTGTGGCTAACAGCATCCTCACAGGAGACGGTTTGGATTTATTTGTTGCAGGAATTCTCTCTTCTGGGCTACAACAGGGTGATGTACCCAGTAGACTTCTGGAGAGAAGTGTGGAACAATATAGCTTATGGAAAAGAATTCATGTGTGGGTCTGTCTTACTTTCTTTTCCTATTGCTATTTAAAAAAAAAAAAAATACCCTGACAAACACAATTTAAGGAAGAAAGAGTTTAATTGGCTCGCAATTCCAGGCTATGTCAAGGTGGCCGGAGCTTGAAGCAGCTGGTCCTAGCACATCCACAGTCAAACAATGAATGTAGGTATGCCAATGCTCAGTGGCTCTCTCCTTTTCATTCAGTCTAGGCCCAGCCCATGAGATGATGCTGTTCCACATAGATTGGGTCTTCCTACCTCATTACCCTAAATAAGAAAGCCGCTTGCAGGCATGGGCACAGGCCAACTTAATCTAGACAATTCCTCATTGAGACTCCTTTTGGAAGTGACTCTAGATTGTGTCAAGTTTACAAATGAAACAACCATCACAGGGTCCTTTACCTCTCACCTTTCACTTAAGCATTGTGTAAAATCTAGTTTTTGCAAGGAAGAATAAAATATTTACCATACCTAACACATGTGGAGGAAGGAACTTCAAATCCATCAAACATCTTTAGTTAGTTATAATTCAATAAACTTGTCTTAGCCTTCTAGGTAGAAAGATCTGGAGCCACACTGGATGGTCCCCTGGTCCATCTAATCAATCAGCATGCCCCTGCCCCACAGTTCCCTGTACCCATTGCCCTCATGTTGCCTAGTTTTCCCTGCACTTACATATTATCCAGGCTTTTCATTTCTCTTCTTTCGGACAACCTTCTCTCTACTTTTCTGACAATTTGCCTATGTTATGTTCCATTTTCTTCCTGGTAGTTCTCTAGATTTCAAGCTAAACTAAAAGCAGATTTGCTAATGATAAAACTTTTCTGTAGTTACACCTTAGTTTTGTTAAGGACTTCTCAGTGGCTCTCAAACTGACCTTACTTCAGAATCACTCGAAAGGCTTGTTGAAATATGTGGCTGGTGATCTACTTCTAGTTTGGCATTTCCAGGGTAGAGCCCAAGTGTTTGTATTCTAACAGGTTCTCAGTTAATACTCGGAAACTTTGCACTGAGAACTGTTATTTTGATGCAAAAGGATGATGCATTGAGAATTACTGATGTATAGCAGGCCTAAGGAAGACTTTTTGAGTGTTGAAATGGAAAAAAATCACTAGTTAGCTCACAAGTCTTTGACTCTGTCTGCACATATGAATCACCTAAATAGCTTTAAAATAAAATTACCAGTGCCAAATTACATCCCAGAGCAACAAAATCCTGATTTCTGGGGTTTGGGGTGGGGCTAGGCATATGTAGAATTTTTACTGCTGTGTAGTTGATTTCAGTGAGCAATGAGAAGAACCATTTTCCTGGATCAGAGTACTGAAATCAGTCCAGAGAGAGGTAAGTGGCTTATCTGTAATCATGCTTCTGCTCAGTTAGAGAACAATAAGCTCCCAAACTTTTTACCATAACACAATGTCACCTTCCCAAAACCCTGTAGGTTTCCTGCTGAGGTTTTGGTCCAGAGTAGGGCAGGGAACCTAGGCTAATTTCTGTGTGTGTGCTCAAGTCAAGTCCATTGCAGGAACATTTCCATTGGTGGTGTGCTTGTCCCATTGGAACTGAAGTCTAAAGAGCCTGATGAGGACAGAGTCGTTTACACAGGCACATATGATACAGAAGGTGTAGCCCCAACCAAAAGTGGAGAGCGACAACCCATCCAGATCACCATGCCGGTAAGGCTGAGTTGGGGGTAGAAGGGTGCGATTCCAGGGCAAATGTAAACTATAGGGAAACAATCACTACCTCTTTAAAAAGAAAAATGTAACTGGGCGTGGTGGTGCATGCCTTTAATCCCAGCACTTGGGAGGCAGAAGCAGGTGGATCTCTGTGAGTTCAAGATTAGCCTGGTCTACATATCGAGTTCCAGGTCAGCTGGGGCTACAGGGAAACCCTGTCTCAAAAAGACCAAAAAAAGAAAAGAAAAGAAAAATGTATTGGAGCCAGTTATTATGGAAATTGGGTTGAGTTTTCATCTTGGATCTGCTCAGGAGAGAATTATATAACTGATGCTCTTTTGCATGACAAACTGACCTTTCAGGTGCTTAAAGACACAAAGCAAATGGCTCTTGTTTAAATAATTCACTCTTTAAAGATTCTGATTCTACATTGCCTCCCATCCTTTGGTTATGAAAAAGCACACTTGAATGATATTTTCTACTTAAATCTACTTTTACTGGAGGAATCTGAAAAGTGACGCTGAAAATAACCATTGTAGTCGTACCATGTAGAGTACAGTTGTCCCTCTGTATCCATATGGGACTGGTTCCACGACCACTCACAGATACCAAAATCAGCAGATCCCTTATACACAATGGCACAGTATTTGCATATAACTTATGCATATCCTGCCATATACTTCAAGTCATCTTTATTTACATGGTCTGTTTATGTAAATAGTTCTTTTTTTAATCATTTATTTAATAACCACATAATTAGAAGAAGCATTTCATTACAACAGCATGGACATACTCAATAACAATTTCCAGAGCAAAAATGCATCTCTTTCAAAATTGGCTGCAGATTTTTAGGTTCACAGTTGAATTAATACAGTTATATATATTGTACTCAGTATAAACCCTATAAGACATAAAATTGAATGAGATTTTAATCTTTAAAACAGATCTCCATTTCATTTTAAAATACACTGTTTCATACAGAAAAATTCATTTTTAATGCAACTAACACTTAGATGTTTGCACATGCATCTCTAATCTCTATGTATCTGAATATTACTAGTCACAGTCAATTACTTTCTGAGATTCTTGGCACCTGAGTATGGATATAAAATCATCAGGTAGATTTCAATGGCTAATGTTTTTCACATCTACTAATTAACATGATGCAAATTTTTATGCTTCTTCCTCAAATAGAACTCATTTTTTAATTGATTTGTGTGTGTGTATGTGTATTTCATACAGAACATCCCAAACAATCTAATTCATCTATATACCCACATCCCAAATGGCACCCTCCCATAGCCCCCCACTCAGTATACAGTTCTTACATTGTATTATTTAGAGAATTATGACCAAAAAAAGTCTATATAACTTCATTACAGACACAATTGTCTTCTGAGTATTTTCAGTCCAACGTTGGCCAATCCCTGGATGTAGAACCTATTAACATAGAATGTATATGTATATTATAAGAAAATATTTATGATCAAGGAAATCAACATCACCTCAAGTAAAAACATTAAATTAACAAAAGGGTAGAGTTGACAGTTAATTGTATGTATACACATAAGAGATGATGAGTAAGTTTGCTAAAAACTTAAGGTCTCTCTGGGCATGGTGACACATGCCTTTGATTCTAGCACTCTCTGGAAGCAAAAGCAAGTGTATCTCTGTGAGTTCCAGGCCAGCCAGGAGCTACATAGTTAGACCCTGTCTCAGAAAAGAAAAAAAGAAAAAAAAAAAAAAAAAAGGTCCCACAAGTCTAATATTCTTATACAAGGAAATAATCTAATAGCCCATCCTTTTGCATGCTGTACTTAAACTATTTGGGGGGGGGGTCTATTTTCCACTAGAGATTCAACTGAGGAAAATGTAAAGAATGGGGACAGTACTGATTTCTCTAATAAGAGATAACTACTGTTAATATTTTTGTTAGTGTTCTTAGTAAGTTGCATCCACTATGTCTTTGGATATATATACATGTACTAAATACAATTCTCTACATGTACTGTTTTATTATGTACATTATGCATCCAAAGATACAAATATGGAACATGACTTAAAGTCTGTTATGTGAATGTATCAAAATATCTTTAATCACATATTGGTGATTTCTATTTCTCACTAGTATAAAGAAAACTACATTAAGTATTACTACGTCTGCAAAATTAGTGTATACTTCCTTCCTAGAAGGAATTTGCATGCTAGGGCGTTTTATAAGTATTGATCTCTAAGAAGGCAAGGAAATTTGTATTCCCATCATCGAATTTAATTATCTTTATATCCATTTTCTACATATAAGAAAATTCTTTTAGGGCTAGAGAGGTGACTCAGTAGGTAAAGGTACTTGCCAGCAAGCCAGATAACCTGAGTTCAATCCCAAGTACCCACATGGTGGAAGATGAGAACCTCCACTTACATGCACCATGGCATGTACATTCACACATATACACATAAGCAACAGATAATGAAGTATAATTTTTTAAAAAGAACACATTTTTATTTTAAATCTGATAGAATATATCAGCTTTTATTCTGTTAGTTGCTATTAGCCTGACATATTTGCCATTTGTGCTTCCTTTGAGAATTATATTTTCATACTTTTACCACATTATTCCACCTGTGTCTTACTGATTTTAAGAATCTTTATAAATTAAAAATAGTGGTCTCTTTTACTGTACCTTGAATGTGCTTACATTTATCATTAAATTTTGTTACAAAATAAATTTAAATTTTTAATGGAATCCAACATATTATAGCTCAGCAACTCCAGTCCCAGGGGATCCAACAGCCACTTATGACCTCCACGGGCATTGCACAACATGGGTGCACTTACCTACATTCAAGCAATACAGGCATACACATAAAATAAAAATAATAAATAAAATTAAAAAAATAAATAAAAATAAATAATTTTTTTTTAAGTTTTGAGGAAAAGCCACAAATGGCCAAAATGCAAAGAATAAGAGATGGCAGAGTGGGAGTCCTTGGACAGGACTCTTATACTGAGGTCCACCCACATGGGGCTCAGGTACCATTGTGAAAGAGAGGGTGGAAAGATTGTAAGAGCCAGGGGAGAAGGTGCATGACCATACAGAAACAGTCCTACAGGCACCTGGGAACCTTCTCATACTAACCTATAGCAATAGTGTCAGCATGCACAAGACCCATGCAGACTCAGGCAGACAAAAACCCAGCACAGAACCCAGCAAGCTCCAATCTTAGTCGAAGAATTATTGGCAGTTGATTACTGCTGGGTGAGGAAGACATGATCTTGAAGGGAGACACTCTAGATAGGCTGACTAGATTCCAGTAGATGAACTTACACTGAGAGACATCTTGGGACACTAACTTTATATAATAGGCCTTAATACAAATGACAGACAGTATGAACTCCAGTGGCGGGGGGGGTCTATGGGAGGGTGCCAAAGGGGAAGGGGGAAGGGGTAAAAAGGTGACTTTATGCATGAAATACACAAAAATTCAATAAAAAATGAAATAAAATTTCAAAAACCCTAAAAAACCATTTTGAGAGGCTGGAGAGATGGCTCAATGATTAAGAGCACTGGCTGTTTTTGCAGAGTTCCTGGATTTATTTCCCAGCACCTACATGGTGGCCAACAAACTTCCATAACTCCAGTTCCAAGGGATCGGATGCCTTCTTCTGACCTCCAATGGCATTGCACAAAATGGGTGCACTTACATATACACAGGCAATACACTCAGACACATAAGAGAGAGAGAGAGAGAGAGAGAGAGAGAGAGAGAGAGAGAACGTACTGAGCCCATTTAGGTGCTAGTATGTACATGTGTTTACAACTAACCACTTGGGATTAGATAATTTATCAGGGAGCTTGTCCCTGGAGCAAACTGATTCTTCCTCACTGGATGCTCTTGCAGAGGACCTGGGTTCAATTCCCAGCACCCACATGGCAGTTAACAACTGTCCATAACTCCAGTTCCAGGGGATCCAACCACCTCTTCTGTCCTCTGAGGGCATTGCACAGGTGCACTTACATGCAGCAATACACACATACACATAACATAAAAATAACTAAAATATTTTTTTTTAAAAAGAAGTTATTGATTGCCTGTAGCCCTTCATCTAGAAGTAGAACCTTGTGAAATTCCCCCCATCCATGTTGGTATATCAGCTGGTGTTGCCATTATGCAGGTCTTCTTTAGGTAACCATATTGTTGAGATTCATGGGTGCAATTCCCTGTTGTGTCTGCAAGACAATACCTAACAGCAGGTAACCTGGTCCTCTGTCTATTACAATCTTTCTGTCCCCTCTTCCATGGTGTTCCCTGAGCTTGAGGTATAGGGGTTGGTTATAAGTGTATCAATTGGGACTAGATACCCCAATGGTCACTTATTCTCTGCTTTTGACCAATTGTGGCTCTCTGTAATGGTCTCCATCTACTGCGAAAAGAAGCTTCTTTGATGAGGGCTGAGAGTTGCACTTATTTCTAATGATTCAGAGCTAAGATTCACAAATAAGAACATTCAGTATTTGTCTTTCTGGGTCTGGGTTACCTGACTCAGTACAATGTTTTCCAGGTTCATCCATTTACTAGACTGGGTGAGGGAACAGGCTGTGCAACCCCAGGTAGGTCTGGCCATAGTCTTTTCAATTTATGGTTTTTGAAGTAAGAATCAATCCAGAAAGGAAAATCTTCTGTAATCCTGAAATTAATTATGCATACACATATACAACACTATATTTCTATATTTGCATCCGAATTCTCATGATCTCATTTGTTAAATTTCAGATGAATTAGATTTAAATTACATTTCAATCCATACTGTTCTATTGGAGAATAACTTAGTAATTAATTCCTAAGTAAGCTATACTTAAATATGTTATTTTTAGCATACTAGTAAATTCAATATGTTGATTACACTTAGGATTTTTATATTTTTTTTATTTTCTTGCTTTACCAACAAATATTTGAGAATTTCCTGGAGCACTAAGGGAACAGTATGAAAACAAAATAAATATCCCTAGCTTCATAGAGCTTCTAATATAAACAGGTAAAAATACATATTTTAGATGTGACTATAAATAATAATGTAAATAATTATTATTTTAAGCCAATTGTGATGATGCTTGCCTATAGTCCCTGCACTTGGGAGGCTAAGGCAGGATTATGAGTTCAGAGTCAACTTGTGCTACACAGTCTCAAAAACAAAAGTTGCTATTATAAAAAATATATTGGGGGCCTGAAGAGATGGCTCAGCGGCTAAGAGCACTGACTGCTCTTTCAGAGGACCCGGATTCGATTCCCAGCACCCGCATGATGGCTACAAACCGTCCTTAATTCCAGTTCCAGAAGAATCCGAAGTCCTCTTCTGTCCTCCGTGGCATTGCACGACATGGGTGCACTCACGTACATGCAGGCAATACACTCATACACATAAAATAAAAATAATAAATAAAAATTTTTTTAAGTATATTGGACCGGGTGTGGTGGCATACACCTTTAATCCCAGCACTCAGGAGGCAGAGGCAGGCAGATCTCTGTGAGTTCAAGGCCAGCCCGGTCTCCATAGTGAATTCCAGGAGCTACAGGGAGACCCTGTCTCAAAAAAAACAAAACAAAACAAAACAAAAGTATATTGGAAAAGTGTAATACCCTTGGAGTATATGCCAGGGGGCTTGTTTTAATTCAAGAACTGGTAATAATAAATAAATAAATAAATAAATAGATAAATAAATAAATAAATAAATAATAAATAATCAAGGGCTAGAGAGATGACTCAGCAGTTGAGTACCTACTGCTCTTGCAGAGGACCCAGGTTCAGTTCCCAGCACCAACACTGGGTGGCTCACAACCTGCTGTAACTGTACCTCTGGAGATCTGCCACTCTATTCTGGCCTCCATGGGCACCTGCACATAAACTCAAGCAAGCACACACACATGCACAGAAATAAAAATAAATTTTAAATAAATCTTAGAAGGAAGGAAAGAGAAAAAAAAGGAAAGAAAAAAAAGAAAAGGAAAAAAGAGTTTGGGAAAGACAGGAAAGAGGAACTTCAAAAGTCAAGTCCAAGGGGAACACATGTCATAATAAATGAAAGAAGCCACGCCCCACAGTGTGAGGAAGAATCTGCTCAAAGTAGCACTGGAGGGATGAGTGACAAGTGGATGGAAGAGGGCACTATGGTGGAGAGTGCCCCAGAGGGCCATGTGCTAGAGTTGTGTTTGCCAACATGGTAATATTCAGGTGATGAAACCTTGAAGAGACAAGGCATAAGTACTAGGAAACTAGGCTATCGGGGTGCTGTTTTGGACTTAATGCAGTCTCCCAAAGTGAGTTTGAAAAGAGTTATTATAAAACAAGGCCACCCTAGGTTTTTATCTCTTCTATGTATAGCTTTTCTACCAGAAGAGTTTTTTTCAGAAATGAAACCAAACAGATGAGTGTTCAGACTCCAAAACTGTGAGCTAAGTTAAGCTTTTTTTGTTTTCTTTTTTTTTTCATTTTTTATATGTATGAGTTTTTTGCCTGCATGTATGTTAAGTGCACCTATGTGTGCAGTGCCCCCAGAAGCCATCCCCTGGAACTGGAATTATAGACAGTTGTTAGCCATCATGAGTGCTGGAAACAAAACCTGGGTCCTCTACAAGAGCAGCCAGTGCTCTTATCCTCTGAGCCACCTCTCCAGTCCCATTTCTTTTCTCCAGCATCAGATAAGCTCCTAACAAAACAAAATAATACATAAGAACTTCCTTATTGGATTTATCCTAACGTCTATAGAAATTCATTGACTGTTTTAGGTTATTGTTATTCTTTTATATTTTATTTATTCTTTTTATTTTATGTGTATGACTATATTGCTTGCATGTAAGTGCACCTGTGTAGTGCAATGCCTGCAGAAGTCAGAAGAGGGCATCAGCTTCCCTGGAACTGGAGTTTCAAAAGGTTGTTAGCTGCCATGGTGATGCTGGAAATTGAACCCAGGTCCTCTGCAAAAGCAGTTAGTGCTGCTAATCACTGAGCCATCTTTCCAGTCCTTCATTAAATGTTGTTAAGACAACTTCAAGATGAGATTTATATACATTAAAAAATATTTATATACACAAAATGCACTACATTTACGTATGCAGTTATATAGTTACATAAGTAGATACTAGTATATGATCACCACTCTAGCAAACATATGGAATATTTCTATTGCCCTGGAAATTCCCTCATGCTCATGTGAATTTAATCTCCCAACTCTAGCCCACCTTGTATCTTTCTCCTTCAATATTTTACCTATTTGAGATTGCCATGTAAAACAGACACAATGTTGTAATCAAATTATTTCATTTAGAACCAGGCACATCACATATTAGTAATCCCAGCACTCAGGAGGCAGGGATTAAGGAGTAAGAGTTTAATGCCAGACTATGAATCTACAGCAGCATGCACAAGACCCATGCAAACTCAAGCAGACAAAAACCAGCACAGAACTGTGAAAATGGGCAGCAGGCCCCAACCTTAGTCAAAGAACTACTGGCAGCTGATTACTGCTGGGTGAGGGAGAGCTGATCTTCTTTAAGGGAGAGACTCTAAATAGCTGACTAGCACTAGTGGATAAACTTGCACTGAGGGACATCTGGGTGCACTAATTTGACTTAATAGGCCTTAACACAAATGACAGAATGCATGAAAATTTGATGAGGGGACTATGGGAAGGTATAAATGGGGGAGGGAGTATAAAGATGATTAAGATGATTTGTATGAAAATACACAATTCAATTTAAAAATATACAAAAAAGGAGTTCAATGCCAGATAAACTATAGAGTGAGTTTAAGCCAGTCTCAGCTATATAGTGGGACCCTATCTCAAAGAGGAGAAAGAAAAGAAAGAAAGGACAGGACAAACGGAGGAAGGACGAGAAGAAGGAAAGGAGGGAGGGAGGCGG